AGAAAGGGAGGGAGAGGGAGAGAAAGGGAGAGGGAAGGAGGGAGGGAGAGAAAGGGAGAGGGAAGGAAGGAGGGAAAGGGAGAGGGAGAGAAAGGGAGAGGGAAGGAGGGAGGGAGAGAAAGGGAGAGGGAAGGAGGGAGGGAGAGAAAGGGAGAGGGAAGGAGGGAGGGAGAGAAAGGGAGAGGGAAGGAGGGAGGGAGAGAAGGGAGAGGGAGGAGGAAGGGAGAGGGAAGGAGGGAGGGAGAGAAAGGGAGAGGGAAGGAGGGAGGGAGAGAAAGGGAGAGGGAAGGAGGGAGGGAGAGAAAGGGAGAGGGAAGGAGGAGGGAGAGAAAGGGAGAGGGAAGGAGGGAGGGAGAGAAAGGGAGAGGGAAGGAGGGAGGGAGAGAAAGGGAGAGGGAAGGAGGGAGGGAGAGAAAGGGAGAGGGAAGGAGGGAGGGAGAGAAAGGGAGAGGGAAGGAGGGAGGGAGAGAAAGGGAGAGGGAAGGAGGGAGGGAGAGAAAGGGAGAGGGAAGGAGGGAGGGAGAGAAAGGGAGAGGGAAGGAGGGAGGGAGAGAAAGGGAGAGGGAAGGAGGGAGGGAGAGAAAGGGAGAGGGAAGGAGGGAGGGAGAGAAAGGGAGAGGGAAGGAGGGAGGGAGAGAAAGGGAGAGGGAAGGAGGGAGGGAGAGAAAGGGAGAGGGAAGGAGGGAGGGAGAGAAAGGGAGAGGGAAGGAGGGAGGGAGAGAAAGGGAGAGGGAAGGAGGGAGGGAGAGAAAGGGAGAGGGAAGGAGGGAGGGAGAGAAAGGGAGAGGGAAGGAGGGAGGGAGAGAAAGGGAGAGGGAAGGAGGGAGGGAGAGAAAGGGAGAGGAGGAAGAGAGAGAGAGAGAGAGTGAGAAGTAGATAGATAAATAACTAGAGGCAGACAGACAGAGAGAACAAAAAGACTAGCCAGCAGAAACCAGCACTTACATCCTGCAACCGACCGAGCACCTGGAGAGCAGAAAGTGTTACATTGTCCACTTCGTCTCACCTCCGAAATATATGCTGGAAATAATGAAAGTACTGCGAAATAGCAATAAAGGCAGGTCAAAGGAACTACTACTTCCTATATAGTAGCAGTGCCCTGAAACTAATATTTAATCGTAAGGAGATAAAGACACACTGGCATGTGCGTATATCAGTAAATGACCCACATACCTATCTTCTGTAATTACACATACTGCATGTGTGTATGCGTGCGCGATATACAACACGCAGGCTATGCAATTGATCCATACCTATAAGTCCCATTTCAGTAGAATGCCCCCTAACCGCCATAAATTCCAATGCCTCACAAACTCCAAAACTATTTTATGTATCTTATTATCTTCACGTCAGGAAGAAATGGACCGGTCTCTCCCTTAACGGAGACATGAGCATTCGTGGAATATAATTTTCTGTTGTATTTCTCTTGTCCAGGTTTGAGGTTTTCCTGTATTTATTTATTTTTTCTTTTCTATTTTTTTTTTTCTTTCTCTCCTTTGCTTCCACTCATTCTCTGATCATTCTCTTACTCTCTTTTTATATTTTTCTTCCCTCTCTTTTATTCAACGTTTCTTCTTCCTTTCTGCCTCCTTCATTTAATAATGTTCTATTTATCTATTTTTATTCAACGTATAATAAGCAAAGGTAAGGGAGAATAAACAATTTGTAATATATGAAGAAAACGAACAGAAACGTTATATTCAACATGTCTCAACGTGTTCACAAACGCATCAAAAAAAAAAAAAAAAAAAAAAAAAAAAAAAAAAAAAAAAAAAAAAAAATGTTCTCATATTCTATTAAAAAATAGGAGGGGGGATCTTCGTCAGAGTTCATACAGAGAGCAGATTTTTTTTTCTTTTTTTTTTGTCAAAAGAGGAATAAATATGAAAGAGAATAAAAAAAGAACTCGGAAAGAAAAGAAAAAATAAGAGAGGAAAGAAAAACAAAATAGAACAAAAGGAAAATGAGAGGAATAAAAAAAATGGAAGAAGATTGAAAAGAAAAAAAGGAAATGGAGAAGAAGAATAAAAAAAAGGAAGAAAAAAGAAAAAACAGGAAATAAAGAGAGAAGATAAAAAAAAAAAAAAAAAAATGTCCGTCCTGCAGCCAAGCGGTATAAACATGGCGCAACATTTCTCTGAATCCATGCCTGCCGATTTTTAAAAACCTCTTCTTGATTTTATCATTAAATCTCATACCATAATTACTGCTTATTGACAATTTACTATTACTTATTTGTGAATTATTAAATCTATTTATAATTGTTCTATTATATATATTTATAATTTATTTACTATGTTTATTTGTAATTTATTTATCATTATCTATTGACAATTTCCGATTATTACTTATAATTTATTATATCTGTTTATAATGTATCTATCATATTTATATACAATTTACTTACCACATCTATTTATAACTTATTTATCATTATCATTATATATTGATACTTTTCTGCCGTCTGAGGTCATTTAGCGGACTACTCGTAACATAGCGA